GCTTTATGATGTTCTTTATTTCCTGGGAATGACTGAGGATTCACATGGGCAAGAGTAATAAATTCATTCCGCTCCAAGTTTCCAACAAGTACACGGATTTTAGATTCTACTAATCCAACCCTGAGAAAAATAACAAGAGTTCTATGAAGTTATATCAAATTTGACAACTATACTCAAGTAAACCAAGTAATACATCAACTACCAAGCTTTGTATGTTCACTTGAAAATGCAGTCCAATTACAGTAGGATTTTAAATACCAACTGGGGTAGTGACATGTCCCGACAGGTCAAAGTGTTTTCCATGCAAGCCTGACCACCCAAATTTGAGCCATGGATGTCAATAGTGGAAGGAGAGAACCACTTCTGAAGGTTGTCCCATGATATCCATATTCATGCTGGGGCATAAGCAGACTCTTTCACACACAATAATAATGATAATAATAATAAAATAAAACATCAGTCAGGCAAATGTCAAATTTATGTGACTTTCTGCTTAGAGAAGAACTGATCTAAATTGAATGCATTTCTAACTATAATTTGATTTTATTAGACAAAAAAAGGGGAAATGTGGTGATATTTTATTTGTGCTGAAACATGGTATTTTATTTGTGCTTTGATAAATAAAGCTTGCCTGGAGATCAGGGGGAAAGGCCAGCCATTTAAGTAAACAAAGTCAGGTAGCACACGCCCTTAATCCAATCACTTACCAGGCCATTATTCAAGGCCATACTTGGGAATAGAGCATGGTGACACACGCCTTTAATCCCAGTACCAACCATATAGACCTGGAGTTCTGTACAGACAGACAGTGACAAGGAAGTGAGGTAGCTGGGCTAAGAGCCAATGAGAGGCCAGAAAAGCAAGGCATATAAAGGTGTGGGTAAACAGGAAGTAGCTCGCATTTGAAAGCTGCAGAGTTGGTGAGGTAAGGTTGGCTGGTGGCTTTCCCTATTTCCCTGATCTCTAAGGCTTTCGCCCCTTAAAAAAAAAAAGTCTCCAGTCTTGGTTAAGGCTGTAATAGTAAGGATTTGAGCATAAACAAAAACTCTGATTTAGTGTAGTGATCTTCAATCATTTCTACATTCATATCTTTATGTGTAAACCTTAGATAAACTATCTTTAATATCAACAAGAAAAGCTAACATAGGCACATAATTCTTGAAATAAGCATACTGATTTTCATAAAATACTGGATTTTGCATTTCAAGTCACTAAATTTAAATCAGATATTAGAAAAAACATACAGGTTTCACCAGATTTTTACAACTTAATTTTCTCTCACTTAAGATATATGACTGTCAGCTATGCATTTATTAGTGACTGTAAGTCAGAATAATTTCAAGAATACTTTTAAGTGTTTTCAAACACTTATAAAAGCTGGTATAATTGAGTTACTGTAGTGCTGTTACCTAAATGAGAAGTAAACTTCTCTATTAGTACCACACAGTACATCTTTTAGGTTTTTAGCTGTATAGTCTCTGGGCAACTATTTACTTTGCCATGTAGCAGAAGTAGCACTCAACAACATATTAATGAAGGATGTGTACCCAAAAGGTCTCCTAACAAGTGGCAGACTGATTCCTTATCTAGATAAATTAAATTCTGCATCAATAAAAAAATTAAATTACTAGAGAAATCAAACCCCTAAAGCAGCAAGTCGGACTGCAGGGAAGAGCTGGGAGCACAGGAAAAGAATATCTGAGGACAGAGGGGATGGATTTCGATGCACGACAAAGATCGACCGCAGTAGCTGGACCAAAACTATTGTCTATCTATTGACAGAAGCTTAACTTCTGACATGTGTGCCTCCTCCTCCTAAGTTAAAACCATGCATAAAGGGTGCACCCTTGAGTTTTGGAGGGGAACAATAACAGTAAGCTGCAGCTGGGCGTCAGGGACACCAGGATTCTTCAAATTTCACAGCATTCTGATTCTAAAGATAGTAAGTACAATCTGCATCAAAGCCTTCTGTCACTGCTGATGCTGCACTTGACTTCTTAATCTCTGACACTCATGGACATCAGTCACCAATACAACATACCAATTATGAATGCCAAGCAAGACACTATTTCATAAGTGGTAAAGTGTCATGTGACTATTGTTATCATCAGACAATGGGTAAAGGAACTTGAAACATAAGTCTTACCATTCTAGATGATTTTCTTCTGTTGATGCACTGGCAGTCAATACTATATAATGTCTATAAAGAATTCGCAGCAATAATCAGGGAGAAAAAAAAAACAGAAACATTGTTAATCTGGTTTTTCATCTATTTTTCTTTCTTTTTCCCAATGAACAAAACATGTACAGAGTTTCTGAAAGTTAAAATATATACTCTATTTTCATAAAACTATAGGCCCCACAATTAAAAATTAACTCACTTTAAAAATATCACTGATGCTGGACTGGCCACTACTAGGATTTCTGCTAGTCTATTTTCTAGCTTGCTTTGCAACCTGAGTAACACCCGTCATCTGTCATAATTCTACATTTACTAGACTGTGTTGGTTCACACACAGAATTTTACCACTTGTGAGGATGAGGGAGGAGAATCACCCTAAATTCCAGGCCGGCCTGGGTTACACAGAGAGTGAGTTCCAGGCTAGCCTGGGTTACACAGAGAGTGAGTTCCAGGCTAGCCTGGGTTACACAGAGAGTGAGTTCCAGGC